TCTGGTAGGTGCCTTCTTTAAAAAAAAAAAAGAAAGAAAAACTACAGGTCAAAGTTTTGTTTTTTAAAAAAAAATTCCTCCCACTCCTGAGGTGTGTGCTTTCTTTTTTGACCTATTTCTCCTTAAATTTGTCTGTAGTTTCCCTATATTCCTATATTTTTCCTAGTGCAGTAAACAATGCAATCAAAAAAATAAAAACCAGGGTCCACTCTTGCCCCAAATACTGAAGAGGGTCAAAGAGAAGGAATCACAGCACAGAAAATGGCCCAGCTCTAAATATACAAACAACATTAAAAACAAAACAAAACAAAAAATACCTCCCCCCAACATTACTATTGACATTCCTGCTACATTTCCTATAATATAATGTTGCAGACAAAGCTTCTTTCCCAGGGCATCCAGCTCACTCAGGAGACATGTAGTTGGTGCCTCAGGAAAGCCTGGGGGTGTTGAGTCCTCTCTGCCAAGCCTAAAGCTTTTTATGATCTCAATATCTCACAGAAACATCTGTGGTATAAATGAATCTAAAAGGGGATGAAGGCAAGCAGGCACCTGTCACGGCTCTCCAAATCAGCCAAAAAGCTGAAGAGCGTAGGTTCCAGGAGACAGGTGCCATTAAGAGTTGAGGGATGGAGGGCGGAACAAGAGGAAGCATCAAATGAGTGGCTGCTTTTGGTTCCAAAGCCAAAAAATGGCCCCACCAAAAATGGCAGCTGGAGTGATTGAGGAACTCCCTGTTCCTAGAGTCATGCAATGAAAATGATGGCCTTGGAACCCCATCCCTATGACAGCCACAGTCCAAGAACCAGAGCAATTTATATCACATTGCAGTTTCAGATGAATGAACTGATCCTAGTTTAGGAGGGTAAGTGCTTTGACAAAGTGTAGAACAAGGTAAGCTATTACCTTGAACCCCAAAGCACAACTACAGCATCCATGGCTTTCTTTTTTTTTGAGTCAGAGTCTTGCTTTTGTTGCCCAGGCTGGAGTGCAATGGTGCAATCTTGGCTCACTGCAACCTCCACCTCCCGGGTTCAAGCAATTCTCCTGCCTCAGCCTCCCAAGTAGCTGGGATTACAGGTGCCCCCTGCCATGCCCAGCTAATTTTTTTTTCTTCTAATTTTCAGTAGAAACAGGGTTTCACCATGTTGACCAGGTTGGTCTCCAACTCCTGACCTCAGGTGATTTGCCTGCCTTGGACTCCCAAAGTGTTGGGATTACAGGCATGAGCCACCACAACCAGCCTTGGCTTTCCATTTCTGCAAAGCCACAGGCCACTGCTGCCACTTGCTCTTTGAAGATGCACCTCCCACTTATTACCAGCCTCTTCTCAAAATGGCACTCATGGTACTAACTCTTGGAGATCTCCAGAGGCATCAGTTGTACCTCTGGAAGTAAGATGATTTCCCTGCCCCATATTTGCTGAAGCACTTCCCTTTCATTTATTTATTTTTTGAGACGGAGTTTCACTCTTGTCGCCCAGGGTGGAGTGCAGTGGTGTGATCTCAGCTCACTGCAACCTCTGCCTTCCCAGGTTCAAGCAATTCTCCTGTCTCAGCCTCCCGCGTAGCTGGGATTACAGGTGCCCGCCACCACACCCGGCTAATTATTTTTGTGTTTTTAGCAGAGACGGGGTTTCACCATGTTGGCCGGGCTGGTCTCAAACTCCTGACCTTGTGATCCACCCTCCTTGGCCTCCCAAAGTGCTGGGATTATAGATGTGAGCTACCACGCCCAGCCAATACTTCCCTTTTTAAGCTAGTGCTGGCATGCCACCTTCCCCTCAAAGTAGAGTCAACTTCCTTTTGTTTCAGAGTTTTGTACTGGCCACTGTAGGCCCTTTTCAGGATACAAAATAAAGTGCCCTTCTGCATCCACATGCGAATGGGTTGCCTTCCAGTGTCAGATCTGTGTTCCAGAGTTTGGTCAATGTATCTTTACAAGAATAAAACCACATGCCTACACAGACAGATGAGCCTGGAAATGGCTTTCTGGACAGGGTTACTTGATATCTTGACACTTTCCCTAAAAGAAATTACTTTCTTGGTGTAAGATGATTAGGACATTGAATTACCTACTCTCAACTTCTGAAAGGGCAGCTTGTTTTGTCCAGTTTTCAATGAGGGAGTGGGAGGAACCCAACATTTTCAGTTATAACAATAAGATTTTGTTTTTTTTTTTTTAAAAAAGGGTCCTATGTGGAAATGAGTGGGACAATGATAAAAATAAACAAATAATTAAAATTCCAAATCGAAACATAACTCCTGACCCTGAGATCCCCAGTTAATCCTCTAAGACCACAATCTCCACATTGTGAACTTGATGCTGGTGTTCTTCCATCTCAGCCACAACTTTCTCTTCAGTCCTCAGCTCTGTCTCCAAGATGACTGCTTTGCCCTCAGTATCTTCAGCCTCTGGGTCTGGGGCTGGGTCAATCTCAATGATGGTCTGCCCATCCTCTGAGGTGCTTTCAACAGCCTGAATTGCCGAGGTTAGGCCAGACTCCATGGCCACCAATTCCACAGGGCTCACCATGGTGGTCATGTTGCCCAGTGTACTCCCATCCTGCATGGCAGTAGAGCTCAGCAGCGCCAAGCTAGATGAAGGGTGGATGGTCACTGTGTCTGGTGAGCTGCTCTTGGCAGAGGAGACCACTGTGGCATAGCGGAAGAGCTGAGGGCCAGAAGGCAATGTGTGGACAGTCACAGGACTGGAGCCCTGGCTGAGGGTGGCCACTGGAATATTGCCCATGGAAAATGACTGACCCACTGGGGTGATAGTGATGGGTGAGATGACTGTGAATTGAGGCTGCTGGACAGGAGGAGAAGGGCTCAAGACAGTGGTGGAGGCTGGCCGCTGGAGCCGGGGCCTTTTTGGAGGCTTAGGAGTGCTCACAGGCATCAGTACCACATTTTGAACTGTCTGAGATTTCAGCCTGTGATCCTGGGCTTGCTTCTTCTGCTCCTCCAACTGGCGTTCCAAGTCTATGGAAAAAAAGAAAAGACATTGTGTGAAGGGAAGTAAAATCTTGGGAGTATTAAACTGAGAGTCAGGCTGGTGTCTCTGTCTGGTTTTATTACTAAGTAACCTCAGGCAAGTTGTGATATTGCTTTCTTTCTTGTTGTGTTTTTTTGGAAGCAGGGTCTTGCTATTGCCTGGGCTGGAGGGTAGTGGTTATTCACAGGTGCTATCATTGCACAATATAACTTGAACTTCTGGCCTCAAGTGATCCACCCACCTCACCTTCCCAAAGTGCTGGGATTACAGTCATAAGCCAGTGCACCCAGGCTGCACAGTCCTTTGGAACTGTCATGGACCTACAAAGGAGCTACAATGGCCATTCCAAAAAACAGTGATTGTCAATCTATCCTTCCAGCTGCATTGGCTGGAAAACTCCTTTGCTGGTGACTCAAATAGCCACAGTTTACCATTGTTGCCCAGGAAGGTCTACAGAAAGTTATAGAGGAAGTCCCTAAAAATTACAGAACTGAAAGAGGTCTTAGAGTTCAAATAAATTCATTTTGACAGAGATCCAGGGAGGGAAAATTAATAAATTAAGGTTATAAAGGTTGGACCAGGACAAAAATCTTCTAATGGCCAACTTCATTGCTTTTGCATTATAAATATGCCTATCACTATCCCTCTCCCAAGTGTCCAGTCCAACCTATGTGACCACTGGTGAGTCAGGTTCTACAACGGAATCTCTCTATTACTCAGTACCTCATAAGAACCCAAGAAAGAATCAGTTACACTTGTAGAACACTTTGTTCCCTATGTGTGAAACTGTGACATAATAAGAAATACATATTTAGTCTCTGCCCCTGGATTCTGGCACACAGCCCCTAAAACACATGGATCGCCAGAGTGGTAAATGTCTTTGTATCTTAATGAGATGACTGGTATCTAGGAAGCCCTAGATAGATTCATTTGGGGGCTGGTCACCAGAAAGATCCAGGCATGATTAAAGGACTAGGACTTTCAGCCATACCCTACAACATCCCCAAGGAGTGGAGAGGGACTATAGGTTGATTACCAATGGCCAATAGGTAATCAATCATACCTATGTAACGAAGCCTCCATAAAACCCCAAAAGGACAGGGTTCACAGAGGCTCAGATTGTTGGAGGCTCCTCAGAGTGGCGTGCCTAGAGAGTGCATGGAAGTTCCACTCTCCTTCCCACCTTGTCCCATGCATCTCTTCCATCTGGTTATTCATCTGTATCCTTTGTAATAACCTTCATAATAAACCCAATAAACATCAAGTGTTTCTCTGAGTTCTGTGAGTCACCTTAGCAAATTAATCAAATATAAGAAGGTGATTATGGGAGCCCCAATTTATAGCCAGTTGGTCAGAAGCACAGGTCATTTGCAGTTTGCCTTCAACAATTAATAGAAAAAAAAAAAAAAAAAAAAAAAAAAAGCCTAGGTCACAACCTGGGGCTGAATGAGAGGCAGTCTTGTGGGACCGAGCCTTACCTGTTGAATGTTGATGCTATATCCAGTGGATAGTATCAGAACTGAACTGAATTATATGATACCAAGACAGTGTCCACTGTAGACCTGATTGCTAGGTGTATGCAGAAAAACCCCTACACATCTAATTACAGAAGTGTTCTGTGCTGTATTGAGTGTATAAGCATAGAAAAAACATTTTGGTTTTTCCAATGACTCATATTATAAAACACCAAGAGCGGTCAGGCACGGTGCCTCATGCCTGTAATCCCAGCACTTTGGGAGGCCAAGGCAGGCAGATCACCTGAGGTCAGGAGTTCAACACTAGCCTGACCATCATGGAGAAATCCCGTCTCTACTAAAAATATAAAAAATTAGCCAGGCGTGGTAGCGCATCCCTGTAATCCCAGTTACTTGGGAGTCTGAGGCAGGGAGAATCGCTTGAACCCCGGAGGCAGAGGTTGTGGTAAGCTGAGATCACGCCATTGCACTCCAGCCTGGGCAACAAGAGGGAAACTCCGTCTCAAAAAAATAAAAAATAAAAATAAAACACTAAGAGCAGGCTGGGCGTGGTGACTCACGCCTGTAATCCAAGCACTTTGGAGGCCAAGGTGGGCAAATCACCTGAGGTTGGGAGTTCAAGACCAGCCTGACCAACATAGTGAAACCCTGTATTTAAAAAAAGCACCAAGAGCAAATCAGTTACTTGCTTGGAATAAAAGGAGCAGGCAGGGATCATGAACACTTTCAAAATTCATAAAATACTGCCTTTTCAGGAAAAAAAAATACTGCATTTCCCCTATCTTCAGTAGTAATAAAAAAACTATACACTGAAACAAGGTACCAATTAAATCTATAATTTAAAAAAATTTAAATCAGGAAACATTATAAATACCAACATCCAATGTGACACAAATTGGCAAAACCTTGTTGGGAATTTGACAATGGGATATAACAATCCATTAAAAAAAATTATCAATAGTATTTTAACTTCAAGCTTAGTCTTGGGAAGTAGTTTAGAAGAACATTTTTTTTTTTTTTTTTTTGAAATGGAGTTTCACTCTTGTTCTCCAGGCAGAAGTGCAGTGGCATGATCTTGGCTCACCGCAACCTCCACTTCCTGGGTTCAAGTGATTTTCCTATCTCAGCCTCCTGAGTAACTGGGATTACAAGTGCATGCCACCCATGCCCGGCTAACTTTTTGTATTTTTAGTAGAGACAGGCTGATTTTGAACTCCTGACATCAAGTGATCTGCCTGCCTTGGCTCCCAAAGTACTAGGATTGCAGGCGTTGAGTCGCTGTGCCTGGCCAAAAAGAACAGTTTTTGTTTTTGTTTTTTTTGAGACACAGTCTTGCTCTGTCACCCAGGCTGGAGTATGGAGGTGTGTTCCCAGCTCACTGCAACCTCTGCCCCTTGGGCTCAAGTGGTTCTCCTGCCTCAGCCTCCCAAGTAGCTGAGATTACAGGAACCCGCAACCAGGCATGGCTAATTTTATATTTTTAGTGGAGATGGGGCCACCACATCTGACCCAAAAAAAAACATTTTTAAAAAGGCCACTCACATTCTAAGAGAATGGAGGTTTAAAAAAAAAAAAAAAAAAAAGGCCAGGTACGATGGCTCATGCCTATAATCCCAGCACTTTGGGAGGCCAAGGCAGGCAGATCATGAGGTCAAAAGATCAAGACCATCCTTGCCAACATGGTGAAAACCTGTCTCTACTAAAAAATACAAAAATTAGCTGGGTGTGGTGGCACACAACTGTAGTCCCAGCTACTCAGGAGGCTGAGGCAGGAGAGTCGCTTCAACCCAGGAAGCAGAGATTGCAGTAACCCAAGATCACACCAGTGCACTGCAGCCTGAAAACAGAGTGAAAAAAAAAAAAAAACTAAAAATAAATACATAAATACATAAATAAAAGAAAAAAAGGGCAGGCATGGTGGCTCATGCCTGTAATCCCAGAACTTTGGGAGGCTGGGACAAGAAAATCGCTTTAGTCCAGCAGTTCTGAGATCAGCCTGGGCAGCACAGCAAGAGCTATCTCTACCAAAAACACAAAGGAAAAGAAAGGAAAGAAAGAAGAAAGAGAAAGAAGAAAGAAAGAAAGAAAGGAGAGAGAGAGAGAGAGACAGAGAGAGAGAAAGAAGGACATGAAAAACCAAAGGTTATGGTCAAATTCACTGCAATAAAATAACCTACTGAAGAAAATTTAAATGTCATCCCTAGAAGAACGTCCAGGTAAAATACTGAGTAGCAACTTGAAAAATATTAATAGGGCTGGCGGAGTGGCTCACAGTATTAATCCCAGAATTTTGGAGGCTGAGATGGGTGAATAACTTGAGCCCAGGAGTTTGAGACCAGCCTGGGCAACGTGATAAAACCCCATCTCTACCGAAAATCAAAAACAGCTGGGCATGATGGCACATGCCTGCAGTCCCAGCTATTCAGGAGGCTGAGGTAGGAGGGTCACCTGAGCTTGGGGAAGGTCAAAGTTGCAGTGAGCCATGACTGTGCCATTGCATTCCAGCCTCAGTGAGAGAGTGAGACCCTGTCTCAAAAACAAAAAAAAGAAAGAGAAAAGAAAATTATTAATATGTTATGGTGAAAAAAAGCAAAAACAAAATGAGTTTATATAGACTTTGATTAAAATCATCTGAAAAAATAAAACACACAAGGGATCAAAAGCCTATATTTCTAACAAAAACCATTTTTTCTGATTATTTAAAGGTTTATTTTCTTTTTTTTTGAGACAGAGTCTTGCTCTGTTGCCAGGTTGGAGTGTAGTGGTGCCATCTCGGCTCATTGCAACCTCCACCTCCTGGGTTCAAGCAATTCTCCTGCCTTAGCCTCCTGAGTAGCTGAGACTACAGGAGTGCACCACCACCATGCCTGGCTAATTTTTGTATTTTTAGTAGAGACAGGATTTCATCATGTTGGCCAGGATGTTCTCGATGTATTGACCTCGTGATTCACCTGACTCAGCCTCCCAAAATGCTGGGATTACAGGAGTGAGTCACCTTGCCAGCCTGGTTTAAAGTTTTAAGGTGACAGAAAGCACTGCATTAGGAGTAAGATGACGGAGTTCTCTTCTGGGATTTTCTGTCAAGTAGTGATGTGGCCTCAGGGCCACATTTATCCTCTCTGTGCCTCTACTGGGTCACCTGTAAAATAGGGATAATAGCCATCCCAGAATCTTTAGGAGGATCGAAACTCAATAAACTGAGTTTAAAACATAATCTGGGAAAAAAACAAAAGGAAACATATTTGGATATAAGAATAAACGTAAAGCCGGGCGCGGTGGCTCAAGCCTGTAATCCCAGCACTTTGGGAGGCCGAGGCGGGTGGATCACGAGGTCAAGAGATCGAGACCATCCTGGTCAACATGGTGAAACCCCGTCTCTACTAAAACTACAAAAAATTAGCTGGGATTACAGGCACGTGCCACCATGCCCAGCTAATTTTTTGTAGTTTTAGTAGAGACGGGGTTTCACCATGTTGACCAGGATGGTCTCGAT